AAAACAAAGCATCACCACCACACAATAGAGGAGGGGGGGGGGGGGGGGGGTCAAGACAGCAATTAAGACCCACGCTACCCAAAACTAATAAAAATACCATCACCACCTTTGTAGTCCATTCATTCTTCCTCCCGTCCAGGTGACAATGTCCTTACTGATGTACCATAATGGATGGGGGGAAGAGTCTGCAGGAGCCAGAGCACTGTACCCACAATCCATTGATCGCAGTTGCAATGCTTTACTGGCTCCATTGTAGAAAATATTGAATGCGCATTCTTTCTTCTAAGCAGTGTGCATTTATTATTTTTTCTAAAAGGTAAAATTTCTCTTTAAATAGGCGCTCCAAGAAATCAAAAGATTAACCCGTGCAATGGGGCTACCCCCGCACTGCAAAGGTTAGGTGCTCCTATTGGTCTAGGGGCTAAAATAAAGAAAATATGCTCATGCAAATACACCCCCCCGGTAGTGAAATGTCTCTCAGCATCCTCATGTGATTATGTCACGGGTCCAGGAGGGGTAGCCCTAATGCAAGGGTCAATTTTTAGATCTCCAGGAGTGCTTCTTAAAGTGTCAACTTCACTGACATGGATGGAGCAATGGAGGATGATTCTTGGTTGTTCTTACTTTTTTCCCTCTTAGTATTTACACAGAGGCCTTTATGTTCCGACTATCAGATGGACATCTCATTGATTTTGGATTTCTACTATTTCTCAAGAGACCAAACACTGTCAGGCTACAATGACATGTGATTTATTAGCATACAAGAGAGGATGTGTACCGATAATTTCTCCAACCACTGGAGTTACAGGCAAAGCACAAACCCACCAAGCGAAATGTAATCCAGAAACAATGTATCACTTTTATTAAGCTCCAGCTTAACATTCAATAATTCTCCACACAGCGTATTTTTCATGGTTTGGCTGTGGTCATTTATATTACAACACAGTATAAAAGGTTATTTCAAAATGGAACGATTTAGTTCAGTCTGAGCATAGTTACACTGCTATGTTCCTCGCATACCACATCTTTATTGCCCAGGGGCAGACAGCGATTTGTTCATGAACTGCCTCTTCACAAAGCACATCCACCACTAAGACAAAGAAAACAACACAATTATAAGAATTTCCAGATAGATATTCAGGACCAGACATGCTGGGCCTTGTAGTCAATTACCAGCCAGACAGAGATATTAAGGACAGGACACGCTGAGCCTTTTAGTCAATTACCAGACAGACTCAGATATTCAGGACCAGACATGCTGAGCCTTGTAATCAATTACCAGCCAGACAGAGATATTCAGGACCAGACATGCTGAGCCTTGTAGTCAATTACCAGTCAGACAGAGATATTCAGGACCAGACATGCTGAGCCTTGTAGTCAATTACCAGTCAGACAGAGATATTCAGGACCAGACATGCTGAGCCTTGTAGTCAATTACCAGTCAGACAGAGATATTCAGAACCATACACACTGAGCCTTGTAGTCAATCACCAGAGATATTCAGGACCAGACATGCTGAGCCATGTAGTCAACTACCAATTATAACTCGCACATTAGAAGAAGGGCTCCCGATTGCTGTGATCACATGACCATGATCAGGCTACTGATCATAAACAGTGATCAGGAGCTGTTAGTGACACAGTGGGAGCATATATATGCGGCATCCAGGTATTATAGCCCACCTTTGTGCCACAGCATATATGTGTGAGCTGGTCGGAAAGGTGTTAATGTAGAATCATTACTAAAATATACTTCCTTAGCCCCTTCGTGATGGGAGACGGACACTGTACGTCCCGTCACAAAGTGCCTATATGACTGGCCACTTACACTGTACGTGACGAGTTATTTGAGGCTCTGTAATGCTGGTAACCGCTGATTCTCATCGGTTACCAGTCATTAATTAATGTCTCAGTATTGAGGCATTAATGAAATAGTTATGCTTTTGTAAAAGCTTCCTTTCATTAATGAAAGAATGAAGCCGTTACATACAAATACGGGAGCGCTAAATAGCAATCCCGTATTTGACAGCTGAACATAGCAGAGAGGTACCAGAGTGACTCACCTCTCTGCTATTTGTTTTGACAGCTTGATAGCCCATGTTTATGATACATTTCAGGCACAGAGATATTACAATGTATCTCTGTGCCTGAAATGTATCACTTCTGATCGTCTAGGCACCATCAAAGACATGCTGTCAGGATCAGTCTCTAAGGTTATTAGCTGTTCCTAAGTTTGGAGCAGCCTAATAATAGCCAAAAATTAAAAAAGTTTATTTATCAAGCAGTCATAGTGATATAAACTGACAAAAAAAAAAAAGTGTAAAACAAAATTAGGAAAATAAAAATTATATATAAATATATTTTTTTTATACTATAAATTATTATTAAAAAATTCTAAAAAAAATAATAATGATCAAAACTTGTGAAAAAAGTGTTTTCTTCTAGTTTTTTTTCCTTATTTTTTTATATTTTATTCAAACTAAGCGAGGCGTTAGGGCTATATAATTATATCAAACGTGTGCCTATCTGTCCTCTAAAAAACAATATATAATATGTGTGGGTACATTTAGTAAGAAAGTATATTACTGCTGTAGAAGAATCACACAGCAAAAATGTAAAAAGTGTGTCAGTCATTTATGAACAGAAACTGAAAACCAGCTCAGTCATGAAGGGGTTAAGGAACACATGTTGACCTAATAAACACCTCCATTGGCACAGAACTGCCAATCTACTGCAGCGGGTAGGACTAGTTTGTTTACCTTACTGGGCTTGTCTGTCTGGGGGTCAAACACCTTATCACACAGCCTCAGTCCTGTCTCCTGTCTTAGCTGCTGCAAATATGCCCGCATCACCTCTGGAAGAAGAGAGAACACATTATGCATTACACGTACAAGAAAAATACTGCACTCTCCAATACACCTCTGCACATGTTTGGATTTGTAGTAAACCAAACGCTGAATGATTTAGTGATCAATTAAAAGGAGAACTATGGAGGTGAGTGATTTTCACTCAGCTTCATGGTGCGAGCCGACCTGTGACAAAGAAACTGTCACAAGTCGGCTCAATAGATCGGTAAGTGAGCAAACACATACCGTCGCTCGCTAACTTCTCGATCATGTCCCTGCAGAGAGCTGTGACTGTCACTCACGGCTCCCTGCAGGGAGCTGACTGGCACAGCTGGCTCTGCCTCTAGATAGGCAGAGCCAGCTGCCACCCACGCAGCTGGGTGAATCTCGACAGTAATGTCGGGATTCGTCCCAGCTGCAGTGTCTCAGTATACCGCGAGCTGAGATACTAAGTATCAAAAACCCTGTTAATAAACAATAAGCCCTTAGTGCCCCCTAGGTTAAAAAATAAATAAAATGTTTTTAAAAATGTCGTTTTTAAAAGAATTAAAAAAAAAGAAATGAAAGTTTAAAAAAAAATAATAATGATGATGGATAAGCAAATATAGTGCTGGGAGGCTATTAAAAATAGGAGACAAACATACCACATTTTAAAATTGTTCCACACTAAAATTGTATTTCACTCTATTTTGTGACCTATAACTCCCAGAATAAACTGAAATCCCAGACATATGATATACCCTATAAATCAGGACAAATAATTTATTTTGAATTGCTTTCCGTTAGCTACACTAATTAAGTACACAATATTATTGCCAAAACTGTAAACAAATTGCCTTTTTTTCCATTTTGTATTAAAAAAACATAAGAATTTCTATATGCATACATTACATCAAATTCAAATTAAAGCCCATTTTGTCCTTTAAACAATGGTATATAACATGTGCAACGGGCAATGAATGAGGAAGCTGGAAATTATGGTTAAACAAACACACAGCAAAAATGGCAAAATTGCTCTGGTCCCCAGGAACAAAATTTTTGTCTGAAGCTGTGTCACTAAGGGGTTAAGAGTCCACGCTCTATTAGAGATCACACTGACACCTAGTCAACCATCATTTTCAGAAGGAATGGTTGTGGATCCAGGCAGGGCAGCCTGTATAACCTTCCTGTGTAGTCTTTATTACCTTCTATAGGAGGTATAATACTAAACATGTCACCATGAGCACCATCTTACCATCTTCCTGCTTGTTGGAAGGCTTAATGTACATGGCATTGAGGGGGAACCCTGGTTCTCCTGGAATAGGGAAATTTGTAATTCCCAAGGTGTACATTTCCTTTTCTCCTTGGCCTCTAGAGGTGCACTGATTCCAAAAGAAAGAAAAACAAATAGTAAGCTGCTGCCTGTCCTCATTATATGAATTTATCTTTCGAAGCAATGTCTTAGGAAATATGTTAGTTAGCACTTAACCATGACAATGTGCAAAGGCAATGACAACGTCTAGTGAAGAAGTACTGCACCAGTGTTTGTTGATACCCCTCACCTTTTGTAACTTTTTTAAGCATTCGGAAATGTACAGAGTGATATATATTAATGTTCGGTCGGCTTCATTCTGCAAAAGAATCAAAGTGGTAACATGGGGTTATAAGGCATATCAGTGATCAGCTACACACAGAAAATATGTTGTGAGAACACTGAATATGTCATGCACAGTGCTAGATCGGAGTAGACAGGTGTGTGTTGGCCACGGTGTCAGCACTACCCTGCGGGCAGTTGTCCATTCCATACATCCGCCAATCATAATGCACTGGGAAGCCTGACTCTCAAAAACCCCTCCCATATTTCCTGATGATGACATCCATGCGGGGCAAAGAGGAGAAAACAGTGTGCCTGCTAATTACTTCAGGAGTAGAATGGGGTGCAATTAAAAACTGTCTGGAGAGCTGTTCACTCTGTGAATGTCCTAGTTTTAGATTTGCAACACATTATGGCTACCAGATGGAGACAAGGAAATTCCTATGTGCCTCGGCTCCATACAGTGGAAATTCCTATTATGCTCCTTGGCTCTATCTAGTGCAGACCTGGACATTTTACACCCCGCAGGCCGTATCCAACCCTTGGTGTGTGGCTGTCTGGCTCACTAAGCTGCGCACCGTTATGACTGAATGGCAGTGGATGCACTGGCCTCCAAGGCTGGTGCATTCACTGCAAGCCATAGCCCAGTGCAGGTCTGCGATCAGTCTAATTTCGGATTGTGTTTCTCTTTGGTCCTTGGTTTGCTAGGACTACAACCAATGATGTCAGGGGTCTTCCTCCGTCTGCTGCAGCTTCCAACCTTGGACCGGTGGCGCATTTGGGGTGCCACTCAAATGAATGGCAATGCAACTGTCGCACTGTAATGCACGTTCGGTGTGTTGCATGCTAGCAAGTGTTAATTGGTTGGCCCCTACACAGCCACCCCAATATCCTAATTCCTATTATGCTCCTTTTGGCTCCATATAGTGGAAATTCTAATGCGCCTCGGATCCGTCTAATGCAGTGGTTCTCAACCTGTGTAACCTCAGTACCCACATTAGTCCTTGGTCATTAAGTCACAATCCAAGTCGCACCGCGCTGGAATGCACACCATTGCCGTACCACACGTTACAGTGAGGGCGTTCAAACTGTGGGGGGGGGGTGCGATTGCGTGGTGCAGTGCATTAATCGCATGGGACTGCGCGATTAACACACTGGACTAGTGTGTCAACGGGCCCTCAAAAACACTGACATACACATCACTCACATACACACTCCAAGAAAAATGTTTAATTTTTTTCTTAAGATCCACCCAGTCTCCCTACTTTAAGAGAACTGGAGTGGATCCTCAGCCTGGGGTCCAGTGTGGGATACAGTGCTGGAACTCCATCTATATGTGCATTGCTTATACAGCTCCCTTGCGTGCCCTGTAGAGGTGACGGGAGCCAGAATGTGAGGTGCAGGTACCTCTACACGTGAAGGAGCTCTAAGCAATGCAAGTATGGATGAGGCTCCCTCACAGCCATACCCCCTGCCCACCCCACCTCAAGCTGACACTCGGCGCCTGGCAGCACATTTTGAATGCCAGCACTGAAACTCATGCGCTAGGGGGAGGCCGAGGAGCCTCTCACCTAGCGCAGAGGAAGTCACGTGGCGACCCACTGAACACAGATTGCGACCCACCAGTTGAGAACATCGGCTCTAGTGGCCATATTGCATTGCCAATTTTAACTAAGACATTCACACAGCGAACAGCTCTGTGAACATTTTATAAATAAACTCCCATGTGTCCCAATATTTCTATTAAAGGGTCGGTCCTTCCAAAACTGAAAATTCTGTTTATGATAGGCAGTGAAGAGCTGAATCAACTCCCTTTAACTCCAGCCATACAATTACTAGAGTCTTCCACTGTCCCCAAGAACACAAGGCGATTAGTGAAAACTCAAGACAGCACCCATTTTGTGACAGAAGGAATAAGGCTGGCCACACGCTGCTCTATTTTTCTCGTATAACCAGCGGGCTGAACCAAAAAAATATGGAGTGGATTCCTCCATCAACACTACAAGCGTGTCTATTAAGGAATCCTCGCTGCTTGCATTGCATTCTTAACGTGGCCACTGGCTCTGGCCGGCTCCTTCAATCAGCTGATCGAGGGATGCCAGCCGAAAAGGTGCCGACAGCGGCAAACACTGTGCGAATTTCGGTCGCTTCCTCAAGAACCAGCCTAAATTTGCACAGTGCATGAGCACCTTAAGACTCCAAAAGGTGGGTGGACAAAGAACCAGAAGTGAAATAAACTGGGCATGACTTGGCCCACCAAACTCCACAAATAACTGAAATATAAATCAGAGCACTTCATGTCAAAACTCAAATAACTTACCTTAATTTCATAATTTTTGAAGAAAACATTAGCCTTGAAATAATAAATAGCTTCTTCAATTATATCCAAATCCTTAGCTAAAAACAAAAAACGCAGTATTATTAAATGAACGGAACATGATTTTTGATTAAAAATAAATAAATAAGTCTCATACAAGATGTATGTATAAGCACATTGTTTTCAGTTTTGAGTAGAATGGGTAAAGGTTGAAAGTCCTGTCTGAGTTCCATTGGGAAGATTATGCTTCCTGTCTTAACAACGCAACAGAAAGTGAGAGAAAATCTCTACAAAGTGAGGGGAAGTTATCCGTTCAGGTGTCCCCCTCTTGTGAAATTTCCCCTCACTTCCTGCTCAAGATTTCCCATCACTTTCCATGTGTATGATAATGGCCCCAGGACAAATAGGGTGAATCTGCCCAGCAAGGACATAGGACGCAATACAAAAGTGATCAGGTCATCTAGCCCTACTCCACCACAATTAGAGAGAAAAAAAAAAGTGTATGTGTTATATATTTTATTAGGGATGCACCGATACCGATACTAGTATTGGTGCCGATACCGAGTATTTGGACGAGTACTCGTACTCGCCCGAATACTCTGATACCTTTCCCGATACTGGAACTTGCGGTCAGAGGGAGATTTCCTCTGACCGGCAGTGCCGCGATGAAACATGGAGCAAACAAATCTGCAGACAAATCATTCCCCTCACATAGATCCTTAGCAGCAGTCAATACTGTACCAGTCCCCTGGCCAGCTGGGCAGACAGCGCTCTCCAAGATCCGCTGTCTCCTGTGTGCACAGCGCCCACGTGATCGGCCCTCAGCCTGCTACTGCGCATGCACAGGATTTCTGAATAAGAGTGCTAGGCAGTCTGCGCATGCGCAGTAGCAGGCTGAGGGCCGATCACGTGGGCCCTGTACACACAGGAGACGTGGGCAGATCCCGGAGAGCGGTGTCTGCCCAGCTGGCCGAGGGACTGGTACGGTAATGAATGCTGCTAAGGATCTATGCCAGGGGAATGAGGTGCCTGCAGGGTGGGGGTCGTGTCGCCATATTGCCAGATCTGTTTGGCCGGCCTCGACGCAGATTGGCTGGGAAGCCGGCTTCGCGGCCAAACAGAATGGAGTCGGCTTCCCGGGCAATCAAGAAGCTGGGCGGTGGGAAATGACACGCTGCCTGGCTTCCTGATTGCCCGGGAAGCCGGTTCTATGCTACCGGAAGTACCGAAATATAAATATCGGTACTCGTACTCGATACTGCAAAACCAGTATCGGTGCATCCCTATATTTCATATTATATATAATTTATTTTACAGAACGTTCTATGTCGCTAGATGGATTTAGAGATATATTTGACCAAACGTGTTATGTAGGTAACAGAATTCATATTTCGTCCTGTCTGTGAATGATTAAATACAGGACCACATAAGCAGTTGCGCAAATACAAGGAGGGGGATTATAATTAATCGGATCTCCAGGTAGGAACAAAACCCGTTTCTAACCTAAAATCATTGTGTGACAACAGTCTTTCCTTATTTTCAGCAATAAAAGCCAAACAAAGCTATTATAACAATCACAACTGTAACAGCAAACCTGAGTGTGAATTGGAACCTCCGTCTATTCCACCTTATGGAAAGACGTACGTAGAAAGCGAGCTGAGACTTGATCTGGTACTGGAAGAGGAATGTGAATGAGATCTTTGAAATGCTTTGTAGGACTTACTTTCTCTAGGGGCAGGTCCTTTAAACTGGCTTTTTATTGGCAGCAATGCCATGTTTCCTGTTAGCTTGGTGTCAGCTTCCATTAATGTGGAGTGGTAGGCCTGTAACAGACAGAAATAATAGAAACATTTAAGACGACCCCATCCACTAGTGCACACGTTTTTCTGGTTCAGTAGTTCCCAGCGCAAGGCTTTCAGGAACAAAAACGCGTCTACATAGAACAATTCCCCCAAAGCTGGCCACACAAGTTACAATCTGGATGTACAATCTCATTAGGATTTGCCAACAACTATACAATGTGATGACCTACTGAAAACCAATCTATTATACCACCTAGGCCAGGGGGAAGGCAACCTTGGCACTCCAGCTGTAGTCAAAGTCATGCCTGTGGCTATCAGCGTCTTGCAATACCTCATGGGACTTATAGTTCCACCACAGCTGGAGTGCCAAGGTTGCCTATCCCTGACCCTGGCTTTACATACTTGTTTGTAGATCTAAAGGAGAATGGGTGACCAGTTTACTGGCAAATATATATTTGTTGTTTCGTTTAAAAGTCTATATGCTTTGAAATGGATGTTTTACATCTTTTTTTACTTTATTCACACAAGCTTTGCAAAAAAAAAAAATTAAACATTTAATACAAAGGATTCCCCTAGCACCATGGGGTAGCTAAAGAAACAGCACTGAGCTACAGAAACGGGATTGAGCTACCCGATTAGCAGATCTGTCCCTACCCCACTTGAGACTGAAGAGCGAAGGGAAGGGTGTGGGGGCTGTGGAGCTTGTCGGGGGTGGGGCTTGAAGTGTGTGGGGCGGTGTCGGATCCGGTGGGATGTGCGGCTGTGGGACCAGAAAGAGAGCCGTGCCCGTCAATGGCTCACTCTTGGGTCCCACCCAGCTCACTGATGTCACTGGTTGCCAGGAGCTCAGCGGGACGCCAGCCAAAGCGTCCTGCTCAGCTTCCTGGCACCCAATGATGTCTGTGAGCTAAGCCAGACAGAGCGTGATAGGTTGTTAATAGCTCTTAGCAACCTGGGAGGCTTTGGCTGCCCCTCTGCTTTCCCCTCCCCGAACATCTGCCACCCCCTTAATGAGATGCCGCCTGCCTCATTATAGGGCGGCCCTGCTGATAAGGGATGCCATCAGTCATTCAGTTGTTTGTAAATTGCAGCTTGAGCTACAGAGCTTTGTAACATTTTAAGCACTGAGAGTACCCCAAAAACATAGTAAATACATTCTTTGTGCTGCATTGACTCACTTCATTGCATTGCTGTCAAAGTCAAACCCTGTGTATATAAGATTTCACAATGAACTCTCCCTATACCCAAACCCAAGTACGTTGGCCAGTTTACTTTTTTTAAGTTTCTCCCAAGTATGAGGCCGTGGCATCAAATAAACCACCTGAGGAGAAAGGAAATCTGGGCTACCTGATTAGCAGATCTGTCCCTACCCCACATTTGTTCCAGATTTCCTTTCTCCTCCACCTGAGGAGAAAGGAAATCTGGGCTACCTGATTAGCAGATCTGTCCCTACCCCACATTTGTTCCAGATTTCCTTTCTCCTCCACCTGAGGAGAAAGGAAATCTGGGCTACCTGATTAGCAGATCTGTCCCTACCCCACATTTGTTCCAGATTTCCTTTCTCCTCCACCTGAGGAGAACGGAAATCTGGGCTACCTGATTAGCAGATCTGTCCCTACCCCACATTTGTTCCAGATTTCCTTTCTCCTCCACCTGAGGAGAAAGGAAATCTGGAACAAATGTCCTGTTGGGGGTACTTAGGGTTGGAATTGTGAGCTAATAGTCTAGTACAGAGATCTAATGATCCCCATGTTTTTTTGTGGGCTAGTGCCCATTGTGTGCCAGCAGTGGCTTGCTCTTTTACAACACAAGGCAATGCACATTCCTATTGAAGTGCAAAAATGAGTGGCGACTTCAGGTGTTGCTGAAAAATGCGCCATTTCTGAAGGCAGCGTAGCAGTGTGAACAGGGCACATAGAAAACCATTGTTTATGGTGGCTGGTGCGGATCAGATGCAGAAAAACGCCAGTCATCGCACATTGGGGGAAATTTATGAAAACTGAAGCAGCTGTGCATAGTAACCAATCAGCTGCTATCTTCTTTTTGTTTAGGTAAGCTTTGAGGGCCTGTTCACACGACGTCCGTTTTGTGTGCTGACCGGCTCCGTACGCTCCTGCAGTAAAAATGCATCCCAATGTATCCCTATGTGTTTTATGGGCTCCAGTTCTCACGAATGAAAGAAGTAGATTGGTTCCTATGCACAGTTGCTCAAGATTCTGCCTGCTCCGGTTTTAATAAATTCCCCTGATTGTATGAACGGGCCCTAGGCAATACCAGTACATTTGGGCCCCTGATGTAGTCTGATTATTCGACTTTCTGTGTCTTTCAGGGTTCAGCTGCAGCCCAAAACAAACTATACAGATCGCAACCCCCCAAAGCCAAAATGCCAGTACTATGGTGTGTGCTAGAAAACCTATGTACACTAGTGTATATTGGACACCTGGTCTAGTGCAGGGGTGGGCCACTCCGGCACTCCAACTGTTGTGGAACTACAAGTCCCATGAGGCATTGTAGGACTGACAATTACAGGCATGACGAGATTTGTAGTTACAGGACAGCTAGAGGCGCAGAGTTGCCCACCCCTGACCAAGTGGGAATGATCTGGATTATTTGGGGGAAATTTAAGAAAACTGGAGCAGACAGAATCTGGAGCAGTTGCTCATGGCAACCAATCAGCTTCTCTCTTTCATTTGCAAATCTTAACTGAACAAACTGAACAGAGAAGCTGATTGGTTCTCCAGATTCTGTCTGCTCTAGTTTTCATAAATACCCAGACATCTCAATTCTCCCAGAAGTCTCCCGCACTAAGATAGCGGCTCTCTCAAGCCCAGGAGAGAAACATTTTATCCCAGAAAGGTTTATTCTGCTTTATCTAGCAGAGTAAACCTTTCTGGGGTCGCCCCGCTGTTTTTTGTTTTATTTTGACAGCAGGTCCGCCAACCGCCACGAGAGTAAAAAAAAAACCCAATGGGTGGGCAGGCAGCTATTGCAAATCGAAATGGCTAATAGCAGCCTAAATTATTTTTTATTCGGACGGTGGCCTAAACAGCAGATAGCAGGGCAATAGCATTACCTCGTCTGCTGCCTGCTGTCATTTCAGAGAGGTGCCCCCCCCCCAAATGGAGAGGGCACCTCCCTGAAATGTGTGTGTGTGTGTGTGTGTATATACCATACATATACACACACATATCTGTGGCATGTGTATTTGGAGAAGATGAAGAGTAAGCAGAAAGCAGAAGGTTTACACAGTGTTCTACCACTTCCTGTGTGACACACCATCTTCCCTTTTCTATCAGGTCTCTGAGGGAACTGTTCTCTATACAACTAGCAAGTCATCTTCTGTGTAGAGACACCTCCATGAACATTTTAGCATTACTTTTTTTTGTGTGTTTGCTGTTTGCACGGTTTTTAGGCATTTTCTGTCTCGAGAGTTTTTGTGTGAGCCAATGGAAAGCTAGTTACTAGGAGGAGATGGTTAAAATTGCACAAAAAAGCTTTTCAGGGGCTCCTATTAAGGCCTATGGGGAATTCTATCCCAAAAGAAGTTTGTGTACATTTTCAAGCTTCACATTAGAAGTGACAGGACAGTGAATGGGTACCACTGACAATAATGCAATTCGTCATGTTGAGCATTGTCACACTTCAAAAAAAGAACCACAAGGCTTAGGTGTGGATAGGGACTGACTGCTTGTCAAGGCAGGGATGGGCAACTCCGACCTTCCAGCTGTTGTGGAACTACAAGTCCCATGAGGCATTGCAAGACTGACAGTTACAGGAGTGCGATACATGAATGCGAGTTCAGAGTGTCACGACATATTATAGTCCTCTGCCGATCACCTATCTGTGTGCTTAGTGGTTCTATCCTCCCCCGGGCCTGGCCCGGCACTTCCTGACTCCATCATACGTCTCCGGCAGCACCATGATCTATGCAGGGCAGCCGCCACTGACCTAGGACGAGCGGGCATCGATCAGTGCTCCCCTCTGAACACTTACCGGCATGATGATGACTGTGTGCGGGGCAGGAGAGGGTCCCGGGCAGCCGATTCAGGTCAGATACTTCCGCTGTCCCACCCTGCGCTTCTAAAGCAGGAAGTGACTGTGACATGACCATACCGACGACAACCACTAGAGGCAGCATCCAGTTGACATGTAGAAGACCATTCTAGCCTTTGTCCACTAGGTGGCGCACGGACACACGTTATTATAATCCAGCGCTGTGAGGAAGAAGCAGTACAGGGACATTGTTTTCAGTTAGTTATTATTGCAGGGTTCACACTGGGCTCATTCACACCATGTGCATGAATGTTTTAAGTGAAACTAAAGGAAATGTTTAGCTACAAATAAAGTGGTGAGGGGTTAGACCAGGGGTGGACAACTCTGGCCCTCCAGCTGTGCTTTAACTACAAATCCCTCTGGGAGCCATGCAGTCTTCTGCAGGCAGTCTGGCAGTCTTCCAATGGCTAATGGGACTTGTAGTTACAAAACAGCTGGGGGGCTAGAATTGCCCACTCCTGGGTTAGAACCTCTGTCAGGATATGTGCTGTCTGTCGGGCCTCATTCACATGGGTGCAGAGGGCCTGGCAGTGTGAATGAGGCATTTGCTTATGTGGCTGTCAGCCTCTAAAAATGTAACGGCAGGCTGAGAAATGCTGCCACACTGTCTGCGTCCGTGAATGTACAAATCTGTGTGGAAACATCCTAAGATCCTAAGGTGGAACTTGTCCCACCAGTTCAATGGTCTTCCAAAACAGTTACTTTTAAGGCATGCCTACCATCATGGTTGTCATTGTGCTTATTTCAACACTCAACCGAACTTTCAAATCCTGACATGGCTGCTGCAATCCAAATAGAGGTGAAGATGGCATCTTCTTTGGCTGTATAGGAGGTTACAGTTCCACTTTATAACACAGCGATTTGTGTTAATCTTCTGAAACATGGGTTTGTGAAGTATTTCTGATGGAATGGAATGTTTGATTGTGAATGGGATTAATTGCTGGGGAATTTCCTTTAGCAAACTTCACAATGATAATGGTAGACCATATTAAACAATTCTTCCACATAGAGGAAGTGTGCATGTGTATTGTGTGTGATTCATGAATTATCTTAACCCGACACTAAACTCAGGAGTTAAATCTTACAAATGCCTTTAAGCACCTTAACTATTAACAAAAATGTATCTTATTTGTGCATCATTCAGCTGTAGATCCTCAAATCATCTCTGAATTGGTGCTGACACTGCCCTTCCTTCTGGAGAGTGGCTACTTTTGTTCCCCATGGTCCCTGTGTGTGTTGTAAAGTAGTCACTTCTCCAAGCTCACTCCCGTGATGAATGAAAATCTCATGTTTAGTTTAATAATTTGTGGAAGTGGCTCCATAGAATCCTGCAAGGGAAAGGAACCACCCTAAGGCCTGGTTCACACCTAAGCGTTTTTACACGCAGATCTAATTACACGAAAATGGGCAAAACACACATTTCCATGCAAGTCAATGGCGACTGTTCACACCTTAGTGTTGCATCACGCATAGAAAAATGCAGCTTTTTTTTTCAGGTGGATATCGCAGGGTTTTGGTCCCAAAAGATATCTTTATGCAGGGAGAAACGCATTTTTTTAAATGCAAAAAGGCTATAAAAAAAACACGTGTGAAACTGAAAACGCCTAAAACAGGATATCAGGGCCAGTGATCAGGAGACCAGCTGATTCTGCAGGAAACATGCAAACATCAAAAGGAGCAGCATCCATTGACAGTGATTTTCATCAGCATTTCAAATAGCTTAAAAATCTTTTGACTTTGTCACTTTAAGTAAATATTTTGTGCTTCTTTTGCAGGCTGACAACGCTACAGGCCTGTGTCAGGGGTAATTTGTTCATTTCAAGCATGTTTTACCTTTCCATACAAGTCTATAGCAATGCAAAACTCAAATGCAGGTCTGTGGGCTAGTTCACACCAGCCTCAGTGCGTTCCGACCCAATTGTGGCCGGAACGCACTGGAGCGCATTCCGGCCGGCTCACTTTGCTTTGGGGCGGGAGGGGGCGTGGCGGTGCATTAAATTCAATGGCACTGCAACCGCACCCTCCGGCCGCAATGTGCAAGCACTAGTTGCCGTGTAGCTGATCGCATTGTGGCCACAGAGTTCAATGCCCCCTCCCGCCCCAAAACAAAGTGAACCGGCCGGAATGCGATCCAGTGTGTTTCGGGCACAATTGGTCTGGAACGCAGTGAGGATGGTGTGAACTAGCCCTGAAGGTGGTCAACTGCACCTGTCAATGAATTGTAAATGATAACAGAGGCGACTCAAAGTAATGTCAAACTGATGCCATTGACACGAGCAGCAAGCCACTGCCTCTCAATTGTCAGCCTGCTTCCATAAGCTCTTAGGCTTCATTCACACCTGAGCGGCTGTACGAATATGCACAGAGCTGCTCTAAACAGCAAAAAACAATGCATTGTTTAGACTATTGCAGGGGACTATAGACTAGGATCACGAGCAGTGTGCGGTAGGAAACCGTGCTGCCCCCAAAATAGTGCAAGCGCAACAATACGGTGGATTCCGCACGTTCGCGGCTGTATTAATAGCCGCAAATGAGCGGAATCCATGCAGTTTTCACATATAGCATTTGCTTCCCGTGCGGAAAAACGCACAGGGGATGCAAACGCTATATGTGAATGGAGCCTTAGGCTCCGTTCATACCTAGGCATTTTGTCAGTCAAAGCTAAGTGCAACAAAAAGCTCAAGACAAGGAATCCCAATCATTTCTATGGCCCCTGTTCCCACTGGAGCGTTTTGTCGTACGTTGTTTCCCATTGAAGTCTATGGAATCAAAAAGCGATGAAATCTGCCAAAAAGTAGCTCAGGTACTTTTTCTGTTTTTCTGCTTGCGACAAAATGCTCTGGTGCGAACAGGGGCCTTAGAAATGAATGGGATTCCTAGTCTTAAGTGTTTTGTTGTGCTCACCTTTGAGCGACAAAATGCTTAGGTGTGAACAGGGAATAAGATTGCTTATTAGATATGCTTAGATTGTAAGTCCTCACGGGCAGGGCCCTCCTTACCATCATGTCTTGAATTGTATTGTAATTATGTCTTCCTTATATTGTAAAGCGCTGCACAAACTGTTGGCGCTATATAAATCCTGTATAATAATAATTCAGGCCAGGTTCACACCATTTTCCAGACCAGATCAGGATGCATTTTGCCGCATTTCGGAGTGTTTTTTTGTTTAGCTTAAAATGGGCTTTAAGGTGCGGTCCAGACCAAAGAAAATGAGATGAGCAGTATTTTTTTGTGTGGACCGTAACGGACCGTGCTGGTGATGAACAGAGCCCAGAAATACCATATGGATACATTGGGATGCTTTTCTGGTCTGGGAACAACTGTTCTGGTCTGGACATGGTGTGAACAAGTCCTCAGACCTGACACATAGCCCAACAGAAGGAGTACATACTGCAGGCTGACAAAGCTTCTCCTAATTGAGAGGCAGCATCTTAGAGTCATCAGGAAGTGCCGTTACTGGCAGGATCTCCAGATCATACATTTTGTAAGAGATTCACAAAATCAATGTAAGAAAACTGGGCATAGTGAGGGCGGATGGCAAACACGAACACTGAAAAATAGATTTGGGGTTTACATACAAGCATGGCTTTCATTAAAGTGTATGTTCATAGTCTCTCAATACAGGTCTGACTACCTCTAATCAGAGATTACTTTCTCATCTATTTGCATTCTACTTCTATTGTCAAGATTACCAAAAACAGAAAGAAAAATCATAAGATCTCATTATAGTTTGGTACAAAAATAAGTTTATTGCTGATATAGAAGTACCTCAGGCTCTTGGTGAGTTATCACAGTTCTAGATCACAGCAGCCCAGCACAGAGCAGATCAGATTTGACACTGGCATTTTCAGAACTTTGCTATAACAAAGTGACTACATAAGATTGGTTATATAAATCTAAAAGGTCTGCCTAGAACAAATGCAGATCTGATTACTACGGAACAATGCCTAGTGACGGTAAATAATGGCAATACTTACTCAACTGTGTTTAACATATGAATGATCAAATATTAAAGCTGACCTCAGGGCAAGCAGCTAAATACACAGATGAAATACATATATGGGAGCTGTATACATGCCGAAGGTTTGCAATTTCTGTCCATCAAGTCTAGTACACAGTACAGCCCTGCCTGGCAGGACAGAAGATCTTACTTTTCTCAGCTGGAGTTAACACTTGCAGGTCTTGTCTATCCCCCAGCCTGACTGGGCCGTGAAAGGAGAAGCAGCACACTGATGCACTTCATCTGTCACTCTGCTGTCTTTTCCTATTACAATGTTCCTTGTCAGCACATGAGCACTGCAGCACAGATTGACTTGCTTCCTGTGCCACTTCTCCCTCTCCCAGTGTGAGCTCTGCTGTATAGTGGAGTGAAAGAGGCATGTACACCGCTTGCATTTAAAAATACATTTACTGATGATGACAGAGCTGCATTCATTCGGGTGTTTTATATCTGCCTGGAGTTCAGCTTCAAAGTAAACTCTGTAAATCGGTTTACTTTTAGATTTTAAAAGTAAACCTTTAAAATATACGCGGGCATTGCTGGCCTTCCTCTGAAAATGCTGTAACACTCACCCACTGGCTTAATACTTTATGACCTAGAAGAAGTATGTAGATGAGGAAACTCAACAGGAAAAAAAAATTAGGGGTCCTGATCTATCTGTATACATTTTGTAGGTCTGAGATTCAAAGTACTGAAGCAAGAAAGTCAGCCAAGCAACTCAATCATGCAAAAGCAGAGCTTAAAAGAGAACTATGGCCCAACCTTTTTTTTGCCATGGTTCTCTTTAGGATCACGAGCAGTGTCCTCCTGTGACCCAAAACGCAGCATATAGGGGGCCAAGGCTCAAAATTTCCTGCCCGCATTTGGCAAGTAAAAATAAAGTGAGGGTGAGTGGAAATTTGGGTCTCCAAGTACCGGTCCGCGGCCCAACTCCAGCCACAAGCCGGTACTATGTGGCCCGCAGACAGCTAACATGTCACAGACAGTGTACCTGACTTGCCGGAGAAGCTCCACGGTCTGCATCTGTGTCGGATGCAGACCGCAGAGCAGCTCCCGTCAGCTCTGGCTTCCTTCGGCCGGAGCTCTGACAGTTCTGAGCTCCGCCTGAAAGAAAAGATGTATGCGAGGAGGATCGATCCCAGGTTATCTGGGGGTGATTAGTGAGGTCTGCTGCAGACCTCACTAATCACCCCCAGATAACCAGGCAGATCGTACTTGCGATCATCGCAAGCCCTCCCCGCTGAGGGGAGGGCTTCCGATGATTGCAGTGCGGAGCAGGCAGTGTGCGCTTGTGCACACCGGCCCGTGCGGCATTCGTCTTCCGACAACGCCACCAAGCGTTGCTTGGAAGACAAAAGTCGTACGACCTCACAGTAGAAGCAGTCGCACGCTGCAAATACACCTGCCAATTATCGTACGATCGTGGGATCACCCCCGATTATCATACAATAATCGCCAGGTGTATGGGCACCTTTAGTGTATGTGTATATTAGGCCCCATTCACACCTACAGTATATTTCAGGTGTGATTAGAGATTCCTGTGTCAGGAACTTGCGTTTTCCTGCAGCAGGAATCTCTAATCTGCCGTTTACAAGCGGCAACTATCATAAGATAAGAATTATCATAAGATTATTTAAGAGGGTGTGTTTAGGGGCGGAGGTAAGGTGGGGCAACTGGTGGCTAGTAATTCTTAAGGCCTGGCTAGTAGCTCAGGACTTGAAATTTTGAGCCCTGTAGGAGGCCATTGCCACTTATATGCTGACAGTGCAGAGCGGATCCTGACAATATTGCAGGGATCCACCCCACTGTCCGATTGACAGCTGGCTGTGGCTCTGCCTCTCTAGAGCCAGCTGTGCCCTCCTCCATCTTCAATCGGGGGGTATCCGCTCTCTGCAGGGAGATGATCGGGAACTCTTATCGGCGGTACGTTATTGCGTACTTCCTGATCAATAGAGCTGATGTGTGACAGCTTCAGTGTCAGACGTTGGCTCTAATTATGGGGTTGAGTATTTCACTCTCCCCATAATTCTCCTTTAACAATAGAAACCTACATATTTCTCTCATGAAAGTTTTTTTTTTTAAGCTAGTATTCTACATCTGCTTTAAAGAACCTGGTTACATGTGTCTCCTGGGGAACACACAGCAGTGGTTGAGAAACTATAGCCTAGACATGATGTTTCAAAACCTGTTCTTAAGCATCAGTGACAGTGAGTTTTGTGTGAATCTCCTCAGGAAAATGTAGTTACTTAGTTCCGACCTAAATTTGCTCACTTGTATTGCAGAGTGAAAAAGTGTTGATGTGGCCCAAGGAAAGCTTTGAAAACTATGGTTTAGTTTACATGATCATATTTCTCTTTTTGCCTAGAAGGACATGGCTTGGCAAAGGTGCAGTAAGTTTGAGTCAAGAACCTCCTCCGACTTTTTGGTGTGGTAAGTGCTAAGAGATCACCTCTTCAATGTCGGAAGCAAGAGATTTCCAGTTGAAGTTGCTCCAAGAGCGAGGAAGGAGTTTTAAAGCAACTCAAAGGTCATTCAGGTCACCAGTTAAACTGAAACAGTAATGACATTTGACAATCATGATGATGATAGTCAATGTAACATTATTAGGATCTCAACTGTAATGCATCACAGAAAACAATTGGGGGTGTAACGAATATTTGCACTGAGACACAAAAGCACCAATATCCATATGCACACTTATTTGGCGTTTTATGTGCCAAATAAATAAAAGTATAAATTTGTAAATAAATAAAAAAGTGTTGCACAACATTTTGTTAATTTGTTGCATGATAGTGGTGTACTGTCTGTCCATACATTTCTCTCCCTTCATGCTGTGCTGCTTCTCCTTCCTACAGTTTTTACACCACTGTTGAAATGGTGTACATTTTAGAACTATTTTGAACTTAGAAAGTGAACATTGGCACACACTTTAGTACATAATTGAAACTATCCCATGCCACTTTTAGAGTGGCTGGAGTAACAACACAATACTAATGATGGCAATGTAGATTTGGTGCAAAGAAAATGCGCCAATATTTACATAAACAAATTTCACATATTTCCCTTTGTTAATCCCCCCAGTATCTTCATAAGAAGCCATTCCAATTACAGAATGTGAAAATAGCAAACTTTTAAATAACAAAAATAAACATTTATACATATTAAAACAGCCTTTCCCTTTTTTTTTTTTGAATTGGTTACCAAGAGTGTCTGAAAAAAAATTGCTTCTGCAATCAACTTATACTATGGTGTCAGTTATTTCAAAATAATGTTTTTTCTTCATTCGCAAAGATCAGAAAACCTATTCTGTATGCATGTGAAAACACACAATACAGGCTCTGGTTTCCAAGAACACACAGCTAGCAAAGTCCATCACATGCTAGATTATGCACTGCATTCTCTGTACTACACAGACCATCTTACTTCCACTACATAATATACTGTGGAGTCATGAAAGCTAAATTCATCCTAGCACGTCATTTTTCAATATGTTGTCAAAAGATGTTAATCCTCATCTGCCTGGTCCTGGAAGAATTCATCAAGGTTCTCGGATTTATCCTCCTCAAGTTCCTAATAAAAAAAAAAGGATTCTTAATGTCAAGAATATAAAACACAGACAGTGAAGTTCAAGGATGGAAATTGTGGTGTGCAAAGTGCAACATACAGACGGATTGATTGTTTTATACAGTTTTAGGTTTTCAAAGAAATTCCCTCACCCTTGGCTCTTTGAACTCCAGGTCTTCCCCATACTGGATGGAAAAGTCGATATGTTGGAGCACAATGTTTATGCATTCTTCATCCGAGCGATCAAATGGTAGAAATCGGACAATGCTGTAATCATCGATCTAACAAACCAAACAGAGACATGACTGACATGCAATACACACAGTAACAGATCTAGTTATTTGTACACTGTCTATCAAGATTACCAAACTTGCAGCTAATGAGTGTTTCGCCACAAACAGCTCACGATTCAGCAACTCATAGCATTGCTTATGTTGTAATACTGGAAGGCAGACCTGGACAAATCTCACCCAAAACTAGAAGTCAGCACTATGCAATGTCCATGAGACGGTTTAGAAGCACAACAAAGATTATCGAGGAAAAATCAATACAAATAAAGTTACTAAGGTGCGACAGACTGCACTTTAAATTTAGCACTTTCCTCTTTACACTGTTTTAAGCCCAGAGATATGTATAATAGAAGTGAGATTGGAGCAAGACATCCTGACCGAACTGGCTCAGCTCTACAAGTATAGAAATACTGAGAATTGTAGAATGAGAAGATTTTGATGTTGACTGTATATCACACGTGTGTTATGCTGTTAATGTTCTTTTGAGTACCTGCAGTCTTCTTAATCATTTTTCCAGCCTCTAGCCTATTAAAGAGAATTCTCCTCTATGTCAATTTGCAGCTTGAAGAGGAACTCATTACAGCCAGCTTGTTCTTAGACTGGCCCCTAGAGCCTCTCCCCCCTTCCTCTACAGCAGTCTAAGAACCCTTGAGTCATCAAATTCTGTACAAGCATATAGATGTGGGGTTGCAGAGGAACATTCCATCTAGGGCTGCAGCTAATGATTATTTTCATAATCGATTAGTTGAAAAAATAATCGGGCAACTAATCCATTGGTTGCATTATAAAAATCTCTTGTTAGCCCGCTATGTTATAGCAATAAAGTTAAGTGTAAAGTTAAAAAAAAAAGTCATATTAAAAAAAAAAAAAAAAAAAAAAAAAAAAAACACCATTAAAAATGCAAGTCCCCCACGTGCACGCACATATAAATGTAAATACGCGCCAGGGTGAGTCTACATGCAAAAACAACGATTATGCCACACATGTTACATATCACTGCAAACATGGGAGTGAGAGCAATAATTCTAGAACCATCAATCACTGATAACACTAAACTGATGAGCGATAAAAGCTTTTAAAGCGTTGCCTATGGCCAATTTTAGGCATGGTAGTTTTTGCGATTTCGCGGGCGCACGCAATTATAAAGCTTGACATATTTGGTGTCTATTTAACCGACGTGACCCCATGTTTTACATTTTACCACAAAATTGGATAATAATAATAATAATAATAATAAATGTTTCCTAACATAACGTAGGGAAAACAGATTTTTTTTTTCCCCAAAACATTTTCCGAACTGAAAATACTGAAAAATGGTCTCGACAGGAAGAGGAATTAACACCCTGGTCAGCAAGTGGTTAATGTCACTTTACTTGTTAAAACTAACACTGGTCAAACTAGCAAAAAACAAAAACATAGATAATGACAAAGTTATGACTAAATCAATAGACCCATTGGTGGAAGGTACAAATGGCTCTGGTCCACAAAGTGTATACAGGTATGAGAGCTGAACTTATTAAAAACCACGACAGCCTGATGTGATGTTACATAGTTACATAGTATTTGGGGTTGAATAAAAGACATACGTCCATCAAGTCTAACCCATATAGGTCCACGCATCATCTCATTCTTAGGGATACTGGTAGTCACTCCCCCTACGGATAGAGGATGCGTCGTGCTCCAGCAGAGTCCCCCCTGAACTAGTATCCCCAACATCATGCAACTTGGCAAACTTATTGTGCCTTATGATGTGCCTGATGCAAAATATTTCTATACACAATACAGCAACAAAAGGTTTCTAATTTTAGCCCACCAGTCACACATAAAAATGGCACTCTACAGTTAATAACTTACCAATCCACAAATTGCCTTTGTCAGCTTCTTGAATTTTTTACTTCTTAGTCTGTTCGTTGAATCTTCCATCATAGAATACATATCCGGATCTAAAAATCTGATGCAAATAAAGAAGAATAGAATGAACAGTTAAAAAATGATGCAAAAATGGTTTCAAGGAATGGGAAAAGAGGTACAATTTCTATTTCTCTCTATGACCCCCACTGAGAAGATTTTCAATTTCCTGTCTCCGTGACAACAGGGAAGAAGAGGGAGTAGTTGTTATTTACATGCCTGCTCACCCCTGCCACTTATTGTTTGTTTCAGTCCGCACTAGAATTGGAATTGGTGACCAGGGGGAGTGCTGATACCACTCACTCAGTCATGTGACAATGCTCAGGCTTAGTGATTGCCTGCAAGACCTGAGGACTGTCACAGCGGAGATGCTTGGACAGAAAAACCTAGGTAGTGTCCACAATTGCGATGCAGGAAGGAGCAGCAAGAGAGCACTAACAAAGCAA